CAAAGCAATTCAGCAGTTCTTAAAAAATATTAGCACTTTTAGTCGGTGGACGTTACGAATTTAACAGGCCATCTGTTGAATTCAATTTTAATCCATAGTATATATACAACAATTATTGATTTTTTCTTCTTCACCATGCTCTGACCTTGCAAAGACTTTCTTGCCTGTAATTCTTAACTTGAAACATTGCAACTTCCTGGGAAATGAAAATCAAGATATTTACATGACTTAAACATCTCTGAGAATCAAGCAAATACAATTGCAGTTTCTGCAAAAAGAATGACCTTTGGCACTCTTTTTCTCAAACTGTATATATATTATACATATCTGTCAAGAAAAGAAAAAGGAAAAAAAAGAAAAAAGAACTGCACTATAAGCTGCCAAAAATTTGTATAACTTATAATACATATTCAAGATCTGCAAAAAAAGACTAATCAGTTGTGAAGGGGGTTTGGTCCCCCTGGAACTGTTCGATAAGAAACTCCATAAATTGGTTGACTCTTTTCTGCTCTGGATGCCTCAGGAGATTTTGCAGGGAAATGCCATAGAGGCCTCGTGGAGAATTCTGCCCTGCTTGTTTGCTCAGATTCACTGCTTAAGCTTCTGTGTATGTAGCGGCTACTTGAGAGCTGGCTGGTGGCTAGTATGACCATAAACAACAGAAATGAGAATTTGGGTTTCCAAATCCTCATGATTGTAATGATGAGAAAAGGGCAGAAAAGATGATGAGAAGAACTGCAGAAGTTTATGGAATTGAGTTTGTTCACTTCCAAGGGGCAGGTATGAAGTCTATTAATATGAGATGAAGGCATCAAGCAACCTGTGTTGAAGATATAGCCACAACTAGCTATTAATTCTGCTGTAATGGCAGAAATACCCTTCATGCTTTGGTTAAATCTGCCATCATATCACTAATTATTCCAAGCAAAAACTACAGTAGAAAATCAGTTGTAGAAGTAGCTTTAATTTGTTTCTTCACTTGCATTGATGAATAAATATGCTCTGCATCCTGAATTCTGACATCTACACTACCCTCAAAAACATTCACAACATCAATTCAGACTGTTTTTATAAAAGATTGAACTTAATAAGAGTAGATCTCATTACATTCTATGCAAAACCTATCAACAGCTTATGTTCTACTTATTTATATATATAAAATGTTGAACTTAGTATGTGCAGATGGAAATCTCATTCCAACTTATCATGCTTGTATCCAGAACTAATCTCTGTTACTTTTCTAATGGTTGGAAGCCTACGATGCAAGTTCCTATCGCAGGAATGGTGCTCTTCGGATGGTTTGGTGAAAAGGAAATCACAGGCTAATATGGTCCTTTTGCAGTCTGGGTGGAGTGCTAACTTGAAAAACCGTTCGAAGGGGGGCTGTTGTAGGCGTTGACTTACATTAACATAGATCACTCTCAAGGCCAATTGGGGTTCTGATAATTTTAGCTAAACATTAATTATTGATGATCTCTCATTAAGGTGAGTTCATCGACACGTGCTGGAAGATCGCGTTGGACAAATGGCCAGCACCATTGCTGTTCCCGATGGTTTTCTTCACCACATGTAATTGCTTCCAAGCTATTGGTACTATTTGTCAATATTTCAATATGGAGCTAGGAAGCAAGGGCAGGCATCAAATAATTAGGATGGTCCAGAGGAGGCTTTCTGATCTTGCCTAAGACAGACAGGAGGGGAGTTCTATGTAGGCACATTCCTGTTGTGGGCTCCATTTTCTAAGCATTTTGGAATTGCCCCAATGATTAGTAGTAGCAGGTTGATTTAAGCAGGAAGAGATAAAGAGACGAAAGCTGAGGATGAAACCAAAGGGTTTGGTCCTAATTAGTTGGTACGAGATCAAAGCTTGTGGACAGTCCTTAGTAGGAAATAATTGGGATTCATGTGGAAAATTGTTGGTTTTATGACATTACACTCTCTCTTTTTTCCTGTTTGTTTTGGCGTCTAGGGGTATATAAAGTGATAGCAGAAAGTCTTGGTGCCACATCAGCTGACAAGATGTTATTGCTCAAGAGGAGACAATTTTCCTGGAAAGAGAAAGGGAAAATATTATGAGGATTAGAGCAAGGGCATAATTTTAGGTGATGTTTAGGTGGTGAGATAGAATGATTGTGATTTTGAAGATTGCTGCTTCTCTTTTCTTTTCTTTAATGGCGTGTTTGAATTGAACGAATTATGGATTCCATGCAACCACGATGCTAATTTTTTTCTTCAGGGATTTCTTCAAGACATCATGAAAACCGCAACAACCCATTGGAATTTAACAGTTTACCGCTTGGATAACAAGGAATGCAAAACCCATTTCCAAGTGGTTTTATATTGCATCAACTCTTTAATTTCCGTTTCAAGGCATGATCCGAACAATTAACACAGGCTATGCTCGGCTGTTCTCCAGCTCTAGGGGGATACCCACTACCTTAGAGGCCTCTCCCATAGGCTGGTTTTCATAACAGGGAATTCGATGGAGCATTCGTCGATGCTCCCATTTTTAGGTCCTAATGGGCCCTAAAATTAATTACGCATTAAATAGGTGGACCAAAGCATACTTGATTATGATGGAACCATGCCTGTAAGCTCTTTGTGCACATACTGTCTCTAGTCACCTGGTTAGGTAGTTTTTTGTCCCGGGTTGTAGGGGCTTTGTCATCAGCCACATACAAATATACAAAAGGATAGAAATAACCTGGACCAGATTGTAGATTTGTGCTTGAGGCATCAGCCTGATCCGAACAAGAACATATGCACAAACAAGCAATTTCCTAAAGTAGACATCGCCAAACTTCTACCTTACAAAGATAACATGCAGAGTTAACCAGAGGGAGTAAGTAGGGTTCACACTGTTTGCCAAGTCCTAAAGTCTGTCTAGAGATGTGGAAGGAGCAGTCAGCAGTTGCCCAACTTGACATTTCCTGAAAGGACATCATTACCTTATGTATTATTTTCTTGTCTATGTGAATCCAAAGTCATGACATTTATTTTTTTTCTTTTCTATTACAACATCAGATTGTATATATATTCGTTAGAGAACACAGTCTGAAAGCATAATGTAGTCTGAGGTAGCTCGGAAGTCAATGCTTTGATCATTGTAACTTGGTTGAACATATTGTTTTCACCTTCTCAACTTTCAAGAATATGAAAATACTGGTGTGTGGGCTGCTAGACACAATAATTGGTCCAGATGTGTACATAAAGAATAGAGTGGCAAACTGGCAATAGGCCTTCCTATTTATTTTGATATAGAATGTGTCCACATTTCAGATTGTGAGCAAGTAATCACTCTAGAAAACTCAAAGATTTCAGGACACATCAAGGGAAATTCCCTCAAGAACATGCACTAACATGGGAAACTGGGAAGCATGCGGTTAACATGAAGAAAATTGATTGTAGAGTGAACATGGACACCAGACCAGAGCACAAAGGAAACAATAGAAATGGCCAGACCAGAGTATAAAGGGTCTTAATAACATAATCAGTAAAAGGCATTTATTTCAAAACCGTATCCATCAGCAACAAGGACCCCTGCAGATTTATGGTCAAGGCTATCCAGAGTGTTTGAATATTTTACCACAAACCATATTTCTTTATTCAATTGTGTAACTAATAATCATGATTGACATCAGTCCCCAGTTTGCTTTGCAATAATTTATTCATTTCCGCAGTTCATTATAGACTTGATAAAGTGAACCATTTATGTAATATTAATACTAATTAAATTTCAATGAAAATACAGTTGAAACTTAGAAGTTAGAATTTTTCAGTGGAGGCAATTGCACCCATTGGATATCCGTCTCTGGAAATATCCATCCTCAACAACTTGCATAAAACTACTTTAATCACTGCTATTTTCGGATTCGGATTCCGGGTATATCTTTCAAACCCATTTTTATGGCTGTCTTCCTGAAGAGAGGAGGAGGCCTTTGTAGACCAATTGACATAGAAAACTGGTCGGCCAGCTCAACAAGTGTCGTTTTATCCCTGCCAATTTCTCTGATTGAGTTATAATAACCAAGCCAAGCATGATACGCTGCTTCTTTGATACTACCATCAATCTTTGCCATTGCAAACTCCAGCTGCAAGAGGATTCAAAGTATTAGAAACATTAGACGTTCACACCCCATGTTCGAAATACAGATTGAGATATCAACGCAAAATGTTCTGAATATGGCATCAACCTCTTACAAAGATCCCTTCGATAGAAGAATGAAGAGTAATACTTTTATTAGTTTAGGTGCAGACCTGTTGTTTGACATCCGGATCCATCTGTGGTAAAGAGAGTTTCTCGAGAGGCAAGTCCTTAATTTCATCCAAGAAATACTCTTCCCAGGGTGCAATCAACAAGATACCTTCTCCACACTTGCCTTCCCGTCCTGTTCTTCCTAGGCGGTGTATATATTGCTCCCGGTCAGGAGGAATACCCACCTGGTAGTAGTAATATAATGCCATATTTATTATTTTATCAAAAACAAAAAAAGGGAACGGTCTACACGAACAAAATAAGATATGTATTTCACAACCAGAATGTTTCTTCACTTTAAACCAGATGCAAGAGTTCTTGCCATTTCCAAGAATTATAAGGAACATTTAGTCATGGTCCAACGATATTATACTTGAAAGGTCAAGTATTTGCATTTGTGCTTGCATATGTATTTCAAAAATTTTAACTGCTTAATTAAACCAATCATACGCTTGAGGTTCAGTTTCTATTCAGAATATTATCTCAAA